AACTGTGCCCCAAAATATTTAAGTGAGTTTATATTATTCTTTCCATTTAATACAGACTTAGGATTGTCAATAGCAATATTGTAGACTATATTATATTGCTAAGATGAGGTTTAAAATATTGTTTTTCATCGTTTTATTTTATTCGTTATACATTTATGAATACTACACAATTATTAGTATACAAATTAATATTCGTATATTTTTAGATTCTGAACGGAGTTACTTATGAATTTATTGATTTTACAATGATGTGTGTTTTTTTTTGTGTGTCTTTGTACATCATAACTAGTCGAAATAATGCTTCAATACTTTGGGGGTGGTTTCCGATAGATAGGTTCTCGATTTTGACTGGAGTATAGTGACTGTATAATGAATTTACCAAAAATGATATGTGTCTTTTTACATTTTTTACACCAATAAAAATGCTTCTATATTCAATATTTAGGGTTTAGTTCTGATGAAAAACTATAAAAAAATGTACGGAAAGTTGGGTGGTTGATTTTTATAGAATAATTTTATTTGACAAAATAAAAACTATAATTTTTCATAAAGTAGACTGTATATTTTTCTCGTGTGTCGGAACCGATTGCTGGTCCGACAACAACTGAACAAAAGGCCGTGAGCTCATACGGCACGAACACATAATAAATAATAATAATAGTTATATAGATAACGATTTAATACAAGAGTTTAGGATAATGACATATATGTATAATATGGTGCTCACACCGTAACAAGGGCCCACTTTGAAACACGGTTTCAAAATATAACACGTATTATATTTWAAAAAAACAATAATTAAACAATATAAATTATTACACAAAGGTTGTATACGACTTTGCACGAACTAACAAGAATAATAAATTTAATTAACTGATTAGGCTGTTGACAAATAATATTCATAAAATAGGGGAAAATCGTCAAAAAAAAAAAATAATAATACACAAAATTATTTACTATCGCTAGAATGAAGATAAAAATGATCGGTCGTTAAATAATAATATGTATAGTATATCTATGAATTTGGATACCTTGTATTGTCGTATTTGATAATAACTGACCTACATAATATTTATAAATAGGTAGTGTACTACATTTGTTTACGTTTAATGAAATAAATATGTATAAAAAATTATGTAAACAAAATTAATTAGCATCTAATAAAAACATGTGTGCTACAGGTGTCTATGGGCAATGGACCATAGTAATCGAATAGCGCGCCTTTTGGACCACAAATTGGTATATACTGTAGTCACTACGACATCTTCAGGTTCTGAGTGAACATTTGTAACTCTGTCCAATAACCATTTTAAAGGTGGTAAGTTATAATTTCTTTTATTAACACCAGTGTCCCAGGTTGAATGGACGGCCCTCTACATTTTGACCACTTGCTTCGTCTTTGTAGCTGCCCAAAATATTCCTTGCTCCATCTAGTCCAAACGTGTTTGGACAAGTTGCTGAACTCTTTGCTACCGAGACAATCTTTGGGTTGTATATTGAATGTATGCCATGGTAAAAATAGGAACACTTTGAAAWTTTTTTCCTTTTTTGGTTGTTCAATTTGACTATAATATTACCACTGCACGATCASTGTATCGCAGAGACGTTATATTTTTATTTATAGCCAACAAGGCAACAAGAAACAAAAACATATACACTTTAAAAATTTCAACTAGACAATATACAATTATAAGTCCATTGGTTATATTTGTTCACTGTACGACAACGAATTCACGGGACGTAGTTAACTWGTAACGCAAGGTATTACTAGTCAATCCGGCTCAAATGGTTGGTCTTTATAGAATAATTTTAATTGACAAAATAAAAACTATAATTTTTCATGAAGTGGACTGTATATTAATTTTATCGTGTGTCGGAACCGATTGCTGGTCCGACAACAACGAACAAAAGGCCGTGAGCTCATACGGCACGGACACATAATAATAATAKTTATATAGATAACAATTTAATACCTACAAGAGTTTAGTGATAA